GAGAGAGAGAGAGACTCCCCCACATGCCAATCTAGGCACAACTACGACAACATAACCAACAAAAACAGGTCACAACTCCTGCAGCTCTGTCGCACGCTGGGTATGTACATAGTCAATGGTTGGCTTCGAGGGGACTCCTATGGTAGGTATACCTCTGGCTCATCTCTTGGCAGTAGTACTGTAGACTACTTTATCACTGACCTCAACCCAGAGTCTCTCAGAGCTTTCACAGTCAGCCCACTGACACCCCTATCAGACCACAGCAAAATCACAGTCTACTTGAACAGAGCAATACTCAATCATGAGGCGCCAAGGAACTGAATAATATTAAGAAATGCAATAGATGGAAGGAAAGAAGTGTGGAAACCTACCAAAAAACAATTAGGCAACAACAAATTCAATTACATTGAATGAACTACAGGACAAAATACAAAACTTCAACCCAAAAAGGCCTGTAGTCCCGTGTAGCTCAGTTGGTAGAGCATGGTGCTTGCAACGCCAGGGTTGTGGGTTCGTTTCCCACGGGAGGCCAGTATGAAAATGTATGCCCTCACTAACTGTAAGTCGCTCTGGATAAGAGTGTCTGCTAAATTACTAAAATCTAAAAATTCTGTATCCTAAATGAAATGATAAAATATACTGACCACAAATTCCAATTGCCTATACTTAAACTCTTTAGCAACATCCTTAGCTCTGGCATCTTCCCCAATATTTGGAACCAAGGACTGATCACCCCAATCCACAAAAGTAGAGACAAATTTGACCCCAATAACTACTGTGGGATATGCGTCAACAGCAACCTTGGGAAAATCCTCTGCATTACCATTAACAGCAGACTCGTACATTTCCTCAGTGAAAACAATGTACTGAGCAAATTTCAAATTATATTTTTACCAAATTACCATACGACAGACCACGTATTCACCCTGCACACCCTAATTGACAAACAAACAAACCAAAACAAAGGCAAAGTCTTCTCATGCTTTGTTGATTTCAAAAATGCTTTTGACTCAATTTGGCATGAGGGTCTGCTATACAAATTAATGGAAGGTGGTGTTGGAGGGAAAACGTACAATATTGTAAAATCCATGTACACAAACAACAAGTGTGCGGTTAAAATTGGCAAAAAAACACACATTTCTTTAAACAGGGCTGTGGGGTGAGACAGGGATGCAGCTTAAGCCCCACCCTCTTCAACATATATATCAACGAATTGGCGAGGGCACTAGAACAGTCTGCAGCACCTCACCCTACTAGAATCTGAAGTCAAATGTCTACTATTTGCTGATGTCCCCAACCAAGGATGGCCTACAGCAGCACCTATATCTTCTGCACAGATTCTGTCAGACCTGGGCCCTGACAGTAAATCTCTGTAAGACAAAAATAATGGTGTTCCAAAAAAGGTCCAGTTGCCAGGACCACAAATACAAATTCCATCTAGACACCGTTACCCTAGAGCACACAAAAAACTATACATACCTCGGCCTAAACATCAGCGCCACAGGTAACTTCCACAAAGCTGTGAACGATCTGAGAGACAAGGCAAGAAGGGCCTTCTATGCCATCAAAAGGAACATAAAATTTGACATTCCAATTAGGATCTGGCTAAAAATACTTGAATCAGTTATAGAACCCATTGCCCTTTATGGATGTGAGGTCTGGGGTCCGCTCACCAACCAAGATTTCACATTATGGGACAAACACCAAATTGAGACTTTGCATGCAGAAATCTGCAACAATATCCTCAGTGTACAACGTGAAACACCAAATAATGCATGCAGAGCAGAATTAGGCCGATACCCGCTAATGATCAAAATCCAGAAACTAGCCATTAAATTCTACAACCACCTAAAAGGAAGATATTCCCAAACCTTCCATAACAAAGCCATCACCTACAGAGAGATGAACCTGGAGAAGCTCTGTCCACAAACACAAACAGACTCCACAGAGCCCCAGGGCAGCAACACAATTAGACCTAACCAAATGATGAGAAAACTAAAAGATAATTACTTGACACATTGAAAAAAAACAGAGCAAACTAGAATGCTATTTGGCCCTGAACAGTGAGTACACAGTGGCAGAATACCTTACCATTGTGACTGACACAAACTTAAGGAAAGCTTTGACTATGTACAGACTCAGTGAGCATAGCCTGCACACTGCCCACAAAATGAGGTGGAAACTGAGCTACACTTCCTAACCTCCTGAGAAATGTATGACCATAATAGAGACAAATATTTCCCTCAGATTACACAGACCCACAAAGAATTCGAAAACAAATCCAAGTTTGTTAAACTCCCATATCTATTGGGTGAAATACCACAGTGTGCAATCACAGCAACAAGATGTGTGACCTGTTGCCACAAGAAAAGGGCAACCAGTTAAGAACAAACACCATTGTAAATACAACTCATACTTATGTTTATTTATTTTCCCTTTTGTACTTTAACTATTTGCACATCATTACAGCACATTTGAAATGTCTTTATTATGTTGGAACTTTTGTGAGTGAAATGTTTACTGTTAATTTTTGATTGTTTATTTCACTTTTGTTTATTATCTATTTCACTTACTTTGGCAATGTAAACATATGTTTCCCATGCCAATAAAGACCCTTAAATTGAATTGAAATTGAAATTGAAATTGAGAGAGAGAGACAGATGTAGAGATAGCGTGATGGGGCTTCAGTCTCTCTCTGCACATTGCTAAGGAGCTCTGTCTCTTTTCTACAGAGATACTTGTATCTCTCGCCTGTCCTCCCAATTCGAAGAACAAACCGTTATTGGGCTGATGTGTGTTTGGAGGGAGGCAGAGGAAGAACAGCTTGCATGGCCAAGCGTTTCTCCAGACATCTGGTTCTAATATCTCCTCTTTCCCCTTCTCCCCTGGTCCACCCCCCCAGTCAGCCATTGTTGTTACTGCTCCACTCTAGCCTCTCCGTATCCCAGACCACACCTGGCTGAGCTTCACATCTCCGACTTCTGACCTCATCGCTTTTCTCTTCTGCCTCAATGTCACACGCTGCCGCTTTTTTCTGCACAAAGTCTTGTGAAAGTTTCAGGATTGACATCAAATGTAGAGTCTCTGTATGCACGTCCTCTTTCGACATTCTTTCATGGTAGACCGAAGCACAATAGGATCACCTTCTTAATCATCAGACACTGGATCTAGAAATAATTAGCATTCATACGAAGGTGCACTGAGGCTCATTGCTCTAAATGTCAAGTACTTTTTCTTGTGTGGATTAATTATAATGATAATCAAACACGTGTTAAACCTAAATGTCTCTTGACAATCAAATGACAAGTAATATGACTCACTGTTGGCATGTATCCCACATATTCCGCTCTAGTACTACGGTTCTGAGTCCTACGGTGTGTGAAGCCTCTTGTACAGATATAGGATCTTTAATTTGATCACCCTGTTGCAGGAGAACTTTCCTGCAATGCTGGACATTTTAAACGTGTAGTGTATTTGATGTTTAAAAACGCTTCCGAAGTTTGTAATTTCCACGTATAAATTTTAGACTTGATTTTCCCTTACAAAAAATGCATCAACCCCTAATTCTTTCCCCATTAATTATGATCCACATAATAATTCACATTTCCTGTTGCTGCAGGATTATTTTCCTGCTGTAGCAAACTGGCTCAAATTAAGATCCTACATCTATAGTGTGTCGTACATGGAAGCAGAGATCCTTAGGGATGATCCTGAGGTGAACATACAAACAGGCATTATCAACTCTGCTCCCCCTTTGAATGACCTTTAGATAAGCCGAGGAGGATGTTGCCTCGTTAAAACTTTTGGCTGAATCACAGTTAAACCCCTGCTCTCTTACCCTTAGTTGGATCAAAAGATCCATGGGGTCTTCAGCTAGAGAGGTAGTTAAGGAGTTGGCAGTAAAGCACCACCAGAAGGCTTTCATATTAGTGTAAAGCCAGAAGTAAGGTACAGAGTGCCAATGTACTGTAGATATGCATTTGCATCTGTGCTTTTCGATAGAAGCTCAAGAAGCTTGGGAATGAGAATAAATAGGAATAAGGCAGTGCAAATGGGTACTGGCAAAACAGTGGTGCTTTTTCAAAGTTTGCCCATTTCTTCAGAACCTTTCACTGAACTGTGAAGTTATTTACAATCTCTACTATACTTCAAATGGCTCTGTCGTAAACACTGTTACTGTGTATTTTTTTCTTGCATTATTGTTTATTTCCCTCTCAGCCATGTTGATGTGTCATCGGGTCATTGTTGTAGGAACTATCCAACCAGAACTGTCTCAGAACCGTCCCTCTCACCCCAGGTTCCACAGTCACGGGGGAGGTCCGATTTCGGACCGAGCCAAAATATTGGCTACAGACCAAAGAAACTCCACCGTTCCCAAAACGCCATGACCCTGATCATTCGCTCCAGCACTTGTGCAAAGGTGTGGAATGGCTGAAGGGTACTGTAAGCTCAGCACTAGAAAGTCAGCACTGACTGACAAGCCCAGAGCAAAAGCTACGCTGTGTGTGCGTTTGCACGTTCATACACTCATACTCGAACAGACAAAATTCCAAATATAAACAGTGAAAAGAAACGTTCACCCACATATTCATATGCTCCACTCCCGATCCCACGCATACACACACACACATGCTCGCAGACAAGCAGGCAGGCAGGCAAGCACACACATGCATGCATGCAGGGACATACGTACACACATACACACAAGCACACTGTATTGTACATAGAACAGTAAACATATGTGGATAGAGACAGATCCCTTGCAGTGAGAAGAGGATACACATTCCCGTCACCAGTGTTCTGCAGCATTATGTTTCCAACACAGAATCAGAGCCCCAGGGGTAGAGACACATTGAGAATCCCCAGGGTAACCAGATCCCCCATTGTCCCTTAGATCTTCTCCTAACTACTACAGACTGTACTAGTCCCCCAGTCCAAGACTCTATTCCCTGTCTTCTTACTCTCCTTCCTCCCTCCCTTCCTCCCTCACATAGTTTGCCTTAGACCAAATATTTCCGTATTGCACATTTCTCCACATGTGCTGACAGACCGCCATTACTAAAGAAACCCTGCTTAGCCCCCGAGGCCATGGGCAAGCGTTGATCAGAGCGAACGATGCTCAAAGAACTGGCGTGTCTGTATGGAGGACCGCACGTGGTCCAGCCCCAGACAAACTTCCTCAAGGTCTATCTGGCAATCAACCAGAAACCCAATGTATGTTCAACGCAAACAGCCAGAGGCCGTCAAATCCAGTCAGTCAAACAGCCAGACAGTCAACTACACTGGGAGTCATTCCTGGCGCCATCCATTTGATTCAACACAATCCCCTGCGAAGGAGCACGATTTGTAATTACCAGCCATTGATCAGAGGGGGGTGAGACAGAGCGACGCTCCCATCGATAATCACTCACTTCTTTCCTAATTACTTCACCCCATCAACCTAACACAACACAAGACAACAGCAACAGAGGTGGATAGCATGATGGAAAGCTCTGGAAAGTACTGAGGGAGTGACGGAGAGACAGATCCTCTGTCAGATGTCTGGAGTGGAGGAGGGGGAGGCACAGGAGAAGGAGAAGGAGGGGGTTAAGCCCATCTCTGGAAAGCAATCGATTTAGTGTCTTCTTGATGACTAGAACCTTTTTATATTAATGTCGCCAATCTGAGGTAAAAAAATTATGTCTAATTTCACTCAATTGTGTGAGTTGAAAATGTGAGCTTTGGTAGTAACACAAACTGTCCACACTGAAATTAGCGCAGTGTAAAATAATTGAATCTGAGCAAAATAATTTGGGAGAATAGTATAAAGTGTTGCCCACTCACTAACTATTGCAACAACTACATCTAGTTCTCACTCTTTTAACTATTTAGAGAGTAAAAAAAGCTATCAAACACAAAATGCTATCAAACACAAAAAGCTATCAAACACAAAACGCTATCAAACACAAAATGCTATCAAACACAAAATGCTATCAAACACAAAATGCTAACAAACACAAAATGCTATCAAACACAATCTAGAGCTTCTGTAGTGACTGTGCAGCTGCCTGAACGTTCGCCGTCCCTACTTATACAAACGCCACGTATTACATCTGAACTGACTTCAAATGTTTGTTGATGTGACTTAAGAAAATGGAGAGCTGGCCATTCAAGGAGGAGTCTGGTATTATTTGCTGGTGATGGCTTTAATTTGTAACAATAGTCTGCGTGTGAAAACAAACAGACACAGATACAGACATGCTCGTGATTTCTCTCTCATACCTATTTGGCACCTATCCTTCTCTGTGTTCTGTTCAATGCATTTCTGACTTCACTTTAAGACCTAGGAATGTATAATGAGGAAAACTGATGCTACAGGTTCTCCCTCAGTCAGAAAATAGCTTCACATTTCAATAACTCAAGGCCAGTGCATTAACAGTCAGAGCATGAATGGGAGTTCTTATTATTTTTGCGAAGGTTGAGGCTATGAAAAAAACTAACACTGGCAAGTTTTTACCTTTTTGAACATGGTTGAGGGCATGTGTGTCTGGATTTCACTTCATTTTGGAAGCGGACAACGCCCTTATGACGTTTTGACAGGTATAACGACCAGTTAGAGACAAGGAAAATAGGACTCTCAATTTGTGTTCCACTGATCACCGACAACGATGAGACAGCCTATAAGGAGGAGGTCAGAGACCTGGCAGTGTGGTGCCAGGATAACAACCTCTCCCTCAACGTGTTCAAGACAAAGGAGATGATCGTGGACTACAGGAAAGGAGGGCCGAGCATGCCCCCATTCTCATCGACGGGGCTGTAGTGGAGCAGGTTGAGAGCTTCAAGTTCCTTGGTGTCCACATCACCAACAAACTATCATGGTCCAAACACACCAAGACAGTTGTGAAGAGGGCACGACAAAACCTATTCCCCCTAAGGGACTGAAAAGATTTGGCATGGGTCCTCAGATCCTCAAAAAGTTATACAGCTGCACCATTGAGAGCATCCTGACTGGTTGCATCACCGCCTGGTATGGCAACTGCTTGGCCTCCGACTGCAAGGCACTACAGAGGGTAGTGCGTACGGCCCAGTACATCACTCGAGCCAAGCTTCCTGCCATCCAGGACCTCTATACCAGGCGGTGTCAGAGGAAGGCCCTAAAAACTGCCAAAGACTCCAGCCACCCTAGTCATAGACTGTTATCTCTGCTACTACACGGCAAGCGGTACCGGAGCGCCTGGGTCCAAAGTCTAGGTCCAAAAGGCTTCTTAACAGCTTCTACCCCCAAGCCACAAGCCTCCTGAACAGTTAATCAAATGGCTACCCGGACTATTTGCATTGACCCCCCCCCCCCATTTTTAGGCTGCTGCTACTCTCTGTTTATTATCTATGCATAGTCACTTTAATAACTCTACCTACATGTACATATTACCTCAATTACCTCAACTAACCTGTGCCACCTCACATTGACTCTGTACCTCTACCCCCTGTATATAGCCCCCCTACTGTTATTACACATTGACTCAGTACCGCTAGCCCCTGTATATATAGCCCGCTACTGTTATTACACATTGACTCAGTCCACCCCTGTAATATAGCCCCCCCACAGACTGTTCTTACACATTGACCTCAGTACCACTACCCCTGTATATAGCCTCGCTACTGTTATTACACATGACTCAGTACCCGCTAGCCCCCTGTATATAAGCCTCGCTACTGTTATTACACATTGACATCATACCATCTAACCCCCTGTATCCAGGCCGCCCTTACTGTTATTACACATTGACTCAGTACCGCTAGCCCCTGTATATAGCCTGCTACTGTTATTACACATTGACTCAGTACCCGCTAGCCCCCTGTATCATAGCCCCCCTACTGTTATTACACATTGACTCAGTACAACTAGCCCCTGTATATAGCCCTCGCTACTGTTATTACACATTGACTCAGTACCTCACCCCTGTATATAGCCTCGCTACTGTTATTACACATTGGACTCTGTACCGCTAGCCCCTGTATATAGCCCCCCTACTGTTATTACACATTGACTCTGTACCGCTAGCCCCCTGTATATAGCCCCCCTACTGTTATTACACATTGACTCAGTACCGGTACCCCCCTGTATATAGCCTCGCTACTGTTATTACACATTGACTCTGTACCGCTAGCCCCTGTATATAGCCTCCCTACTGTTATTACACATTGACTCAGTACCGCTAGCCCCTGTATATAGCCTCGCTACTGTTATTACACATTGACTCAGTACCACTACCCCCTGTATATAGCCTCGCTACTGTTATTACACATTGACTCTGTACCGCTAGCCCCTGTATATAGCCCCCCTACTGTTATTACACATTGACTCTGTACCGCTAGCCCCTGTATATAGCCTCGCTACTGTTATTTTATTGTTGCTCTTTAATTATTTGTAATTTTTATTTTATTATTATTATTATTTTTTTAACTTCAGTTAATTTAGTAAATACTTTCTTAACACTTATTTTTCTTAAAACTGCATTGTTGGTTAAGGGCTTGTAAGTTAGCATTTCACTGTAAGGTATTCGGCGCATGTGACAAATAACAGTTTATTTGATTTTATTTTATTTGACTTACGTTCTACTCCACTTTGATGTGTGATTACAATTTAGTGAAAAATACTTTACTTTATCATTTTTCAATAACTCACACTGTTTTAACGCCAATTTGTATTCTGATTGTATTATATTTGTATTCAGCATTACAGACTATCGAATGGAAGTTACCATCCTGAACTTTTCCTCATCACTTCAGTGATGTACTCCAAGGAATGAGAACCCCTTTCTGTGGTCTATTAAATACTCAACTTGCCGGACAAAGCTCCAGCGCACCACTCTTCCCCTGATACGCTCATGCTTTCGGAGATGGCCAACCAGGAACATACGTATGGAGAAGCCAAAATATTGCTGATGTCACCGTTTCGCGATATATAAATCTTGTGCGTCAATCCATTCAATGACCAGACGGCACTCCTATTGCGTAATCAGCTGATCAGCGATAGATGCTCCAGAGCATGGCAGAAGGCAGACAGAGTTGCTGACCAGACCTGTCCCTATGGGGCTTACATCATCAATGAGGCGCCCCTTAACAACCTATAGCAACACAACCCCACTCTGTCTGAGTGGCTAAACCTGACACTGAACACACAGAACGGCCCATGAGCGATCACCTTACAGGGCGTCCTTTGACTGCATTCTGTCTGTGGCACAGAAAGGAATAAAGATACTAACTAAAAAAAATTGTCTGTGGTCAGTGACACATCTATCCCCTGTGAGCGATCACCGCCCAGCCTCGCAGGGAGGCCTTTGGCTGGCTGCAGTCTGTGGCACAGAGATGAATAAAGATCTCTGTGATCTCTATGGCATCAGATAGCCTCTGGTGGAGGAGCAGCGTGCCATGAAGCAGACCTCCAGTGAGAGTTGACCAGATGGATCAGAGATTGAACACAAATAGACCCCCCTTAGAGCTCCACACTGAGTCCCAGTCTGATCGTGATCAACACATTCCGTTAATATGCAATAAGGATCCGACCCTGCCAGCTGTGATGACGCACAAACAACGCAGCCTGGGTATTGGAGACTGGTGTTGCCTATTAAGATAAGATGAGTATTTTATTAACCACGTATTTTCTTACTTTTGAACTCTGCATTGCTGGGAAAGGGCTCCTAAGTAAAGCATTTCACGGTAAAGTCTGCACCTGTTGTATTCGGCGCATGTGACAAATACAATTTGATTTGATTTGATAAACAATTCCTGGGTATTGGGGACGGGTGTTGCCTAATAAAGAGAGATTGTTGTGGGAGAGTTTTTATGAATAATTTCCCACCCCTTATGGGCTTTGATGGACGGATTCTAAACGTTGTGTTTGTTGCAGAGCTGTGGTATTCCTACGTTCACACACCCTCCCGCCTCTCCTCTCAGCGCGGAAGGGCGTCTTAAGGTGTTTATTTAAACACCCAATAGGGCCTCTTCGACTTACTGCTGCTTCCATATACTCTCTCTGCACAAGGAATCCATTTCAAACTGTGATTTCAACATGTCTCCTGAAGCAGATAGCGTTACATCATGAAGTGATTGGACCGTGAACCATTAAAACACAAGACATGAACATCGATAGAACCCTTATCGTAACATTTTAATTAGCAATTACTTAAAACGTAATGGGTAACAAAAATGAAAAAGCATTTCACAGTCCTTAGATCAGAAGGCACATCTTAGATTGATTTCATTGTCTGTCATTGTTTATTGTCTGTCATTTACGAGTGCAAGCCATCCTTTGAATGGGGACTGCAGTTACTGTCAAAGGTTGCTAGAAGGTGCATTGACTTCAAACCCTAAATGTTGGTACTGTTCCATCATGGCTATTAATAAAGTCCATAGAATGTTAAGGGCAGGCCTGTGACAAGAGGGAGTGGGACGTGCTAAAGAGTTATGTGACATGGGACTGGGGAGCGATTGAAAGATCACAAGTCCACTAACAAGGCCAATGGTGAAGTCAATCGGTAGCCTGTGACCCCCATTACAGTCCAGGCAGTCTGTAATACAAACACATCTTACATCTGCACTCTAACCTACATGAGGAATATGGGTGAGAGGACTAGGAGAGTTAGTTCAATTGAAGTTGAATGGAAGGAACCATCCCCTCAGACAGACAGACATTCCATGACATTATCAAGAGTTCTACATGTAACAAAAGGCACTTCATTCAATCAGGAATCATGACACTAATACATTTTATGGAAACGTCATTGCTACAAACTATACAGTACATATACAAAAACAGTCAATCAAACACATATATACACGCGTACTGTATAAAACAAATTTGGTCTGCGGTGTGAATTGATTTGTTCGGGTACTTAAAAAAGCACAAGCATAAAAGTCATATCCAAGTGATTGCTTTTTCTCAACAGCGTCATGACCGTCAACAGCGTCATGACCGTCAACAGGGTCATGACCGTCAACAGGGTCATGACAGTCAACAGGGTCATGACCGTCAACAGCGTCATGACAGTCATGCTTGCATAGTTTGGTCCAACTGCCGAAATGCCTGTTGTCCTGCAAAGGGGCGTGAAACACAACCGCCTTCATTCACCAACTTCTGAGGTAAATAAAAAACTGCTTCTTTAACGAAGTTGACAAAAATAGTCATTTGTGATGCCACACTTTGGGAAATGAGCTCAATTGGGCATTAAAACCTGAGCGTTTGTTTGAAAGATGCAGACACCCAGATTTCATTGACTACAAAAATGCTATAAGCTACAGTATAGGTCTTTGGCTTTGGCTTTCAGGTGGCACTGGTGATATATTAACAGTATATTCCCACAGCATCTGTAAATATAACCAGATGACGTATTCAACAACAATCCCAATGGATGGTTTCTATTATGACCCTATAGTGCAATCATATAGTGATCATATACCTTGTGCCGTGAGATCAGTGTAAGCAACAATAATACGTTTTTTTTCTACCACATGTCAAAGCACCCCAAGAAAAGGATCAGTGTTCTTTTAGTATTGCTTCCTCTTTCTTCTCTTTCAACCGATATTCCACAGAAACATCCAAGTGTTCACAGAGTCACAGGACGGCAACAGAGTGATGGTGGGAGGAGGCAATAAACAGTAAAATAACCACCCAAGTCCTCTCTCACCTTCTTCATTTCCTATCCTCTTATTTATAAAACAGTTTATTTATGTACAAGTCTTTCCTCATTCGTCTGTTTAAACATGTGACTGCATCCCCTTGCTGGGATTGGGCGCGCCCTGCTTGTCGTGTGCCCCGGAGATCCAATGGTAGCAGTCGGTGGCGGACTTGTTGCGTGGCGTGACGGCGCAGCGGGTGCAGTAGATGATGCCCAGTGCCACCATCACCACGATGAAGATGCAGAGTGGCACCAGGAGGCCTACCAGCAGCCAGTTGACACCATCCTGCTTCTGGCTGCTCTCATCCTCCTGGGGCGGCCCCCTCTCATCCTCCCCCTCCACCTCGTCCTCCTGGGGCGGCCCCCTCTCATCCTTCCCCTCCACCTCGTCCTCCTGGGGCGGCCCCCTCTCATCCTTCCCCTCCACCTCGTCCTCCTGGGGCGGCCCCCTCTCATCCTCCCCCTCCACCTCGTCCTCCTGGGGCGGCCCACTCTCATCCTCCCCCTCCACCTCGTCCTCCTGGGGTGGACCCCTCTCATCCTTCCCCTCCACCTCGTCCTCCTGGGGCGGCCCCCTCTCATCCTCCCACTCCACCTCGTCCTCCTGGGGCGGCCCCCTCTCATCCCCCTCCACCTCGTCCTCCTGGGGCGGCCCCCTCTCATCCTCCACCTCCACCTCCACCTCTTTAACGCTCTGGTCGGGGGTGAGGGGAGTTTGGGGAGCCAGGGGAGGAGGCAGGGAGGGGGTGTGCTGTTTCTGGTTCTCACCCTGGCCCATCTCTGGGGGGGATATCACCCATTCATCGTCAATTCCCCTCTCTTCCTCATTCTCCTCAGCTTCATCATAGTTGGATGCGGGGACGTACTGGTCAGTGATTGGCTCCTGCCACATGGTAAGTCCTTCTTCCTGGCTGGAGGTGGTGGGACTGATCCAGAACCAGTTCCATGCCCCTCCCGAGATTGTGGAGGTGGGGAGGACTGAGGGACTGGTAGTGGTTTCGTCATCCTCCTCCTCCTCATACCAGTCAGGTGTGGGAGTTGGGGTGGGGGATGTGTCGGATGTGGGGCTGGGAGAGAGACTGGGCGTGGGTTCCAACTCTGGCTGGACCTTGGCTGGGGCATTCCAATTCATGATGTCCCAGCCGGGTGTATACTCCTCCTCTTCTTCCTCCTCCACCTCTGGCTCTTCCGTGGGGGGGACCAGGAATGGGTTGTAGTTTAGGACTGGCTCCTCCTGGGGTGCGCTGGTGACCCAGATAATGTCACTCTCCAGCCTGGGAGGGTCTGTGAGCCAGTCCAGGGACTCTTCCTCCTCCGGGGGCCAGTCGGTGTTGGCCTGCTGGGGGGTCCAGTGGTACACGGGTTCCTGGGGGTCCCACTTGGGGCCGGGTTGGCGGGTGACCCAGGGGTAAGAGGGCGTGGCTGCGGTGGTTGAGTCCTCACCCTCACCTATCTTCCTGCATGAGAAGTGGTCAGAGAGTAGCTCGTAGCCCACCTCGCAGTAACACTCGAAGCCCCCCTCGTAGTTCACACACATCTGCTGACATGTCCCAGGGATCTGACACTCGTCGGTGTCCTGGCAGTGGGAGGGGTCCTCGGGCAGGGGGGAGAAGCCCAGGTGGCAGTGGCAGACGTGGGAGCCAGGCGTGTTCTCGCAGGCGTGCTCGCATGGGTCCTCCATGCACTCGTCCACATCCTCACACTCGCCCTCCTCGTCCGGCCGGTAGCCCTCACGGCAGCGGCACTCGAAGGTCCCCGGGGCGTTGACGCACAGCTGCTCGCAGGGGCTCTGCAGGCACTCATCTACATCCAGGCAGCCACGCTCATCCGGGGCCAGCATGTAGCCTTCGGGGCAGGCGCAGCGGTAGCCGTCCGACAGGGGAAGGCATTCGAACTCGCAGGGGGCACTGTGGCACGGGTCGACAGCGCCACATGTCTGCCCATTGTCACCGAGCTGGAAGCCGTCCGAGCACTCACAGTAGTAGTGTTCCCCGGCCTCCCGGCAGAAATGCTCGCACCCTCCATTGTCCTGATCACACCAGCTCTTCTCTGTGGTGTCGGTGCAGAGGGGCATCTCCCTGGACCACCCCACAGTGCCATCCTCCCTCAGCATACACAACACTGACTGCTCCTCCTCGGTGCGCCCCGGGCAGGGCATCGTGGCTACAGATCCAAAGGGCACGTGGGTAAGGAGGCTACTGAGGAGGCTGAAGGGGGTACTATAGAGGGCGTTGCCGCCCCCCTCTCTCCAAACCGCCGGGCACATGCCCTTGTAGGTGTAGCGGCACAGGTAACCATCCACTGGCACCGAACATGAGCCGTCCAGCCATTTAAAATTATCATGCTGCTCGTGGGCGGCTGTGCCATAGGTCATAACCACACAGCGCGGGGCCGAACAGGTGCTGGGCGTGTCGCCCCTGAGCCAGTTTGTGTACTGGGTATCCTGGTCACCCGTAGTCCAGGTGAACCCACGGAGAGGGCGAGAGGCGGTACACTGACGAGGCTGTCTCTGGAGACCGATCCACACCCGGACCATGGTTCTGGGGCTCCGTAGCTCCACGCTGGAGAAGAGAGCAGCGATCGTGTCAGCCTCCTCCTGGAGTTTGACTGTGGCCAGATTGCCTCCCTTCTCCTTGCAACTCCTCCAGGAGTCCAGGAAGGTCTTGCGCTGAAAGTAGACTACGAAGCAGCCGTCCTCGTTGCACAGAGCGTCCCTCTCCTGTAGCTCCTGGCCCAATACAGGGGGACTATAGTAGAGGAGACCCAGTAGTGAGACGACTACAGCAGCAGTACAGCGCACTGGGGAGCCCATCCTTAGCTCACTCTTCTTCTTCTCTCTCTTTTTATTTTTCTTCTCTTTCTCCTCTTCAACTTGTTTAGTATTTGTTTCTTACTTGTTTTTTTCCTTCTCATCCAAACTTTTCTCTCTTCATCTGCACTTTATCTCTCCAAACCTCTCTCTCTCTCTCTCTCTCCAACTACCTCACTCTTCCCTGCTAACGGAGTTCTGTGCCGGTGTTGAGTGCTTGCAGATGGTCCCGAGATTTCAGAGAGAGAGAGAGAGGGCGTGGGAAGAGAGAGAGAGGGAGGGAGAGAGAGAGGCAGTGGGAAAGAGGGAGGGAGGGAGCGAGAGAGAGCGAGAGAGGGGGGGGAAGGAGCGAAGGAAAGAGGGACGGAATTGAACAAATAATTATATGTTTTTGGAAGAGGCGGGGGGTTCTCAATGTGTGTGTGTGTGTGTGTGTGTGTGAGTGAGAGAGAGAGAGAGAGAGAGAGAGAGAGAGAGAGAGAGAGAGAGAGAGAGAGAGAGAGAGAGAGAGAGTTGCCTGTGAGTGTCTTGGGGAGGGTTGGGGGAGGTGCACTGCACTGTGTATTTCTTTCTTTCTAAGAGTGTCGTATGGTTTTCATAAGTCAGTTTATGGAAATAGCATGGGACCCAGTCATACCCCCCATATCCCACACTCTCCATCAACACACACACAGGCACATACACACACAAGCACATACACACAAACATACACACACAACCACACACCATCCCCACCAGGCCTTCAAGGCAGATATCCAGTTATGACACTTCAAAATTGTTTTGTTTTCTTCAATAATTCCATGAGCAGGAGAATTATCAGACAAAGACCTGTCTGTGTTCCAAGAACCCATCACTCTGTTCCGCTTGGTCTCCTTTCAGTCCATAGCTGAAGTTTTCTCTCTTTTCTTTGTTTTGTCTTTCTTACCTCTATCTTCTTACATTTGCAGAGAGAACATGAACTCTGTTTGCTCAAAGAGCATGTCTGTTAACTGAAAGTTCACAAAAGTTTTGAATGGATATCCTCAAAGTCTGTGGATATGGATATCCTCAAAGTGTCAGTTCTTCTTTGTGTGTGTGTGTGTGTGTGTGTGTGTGTGTGTGTGTGTGTGTGTGTGTGTGTGTGTGTGTGTGTGTGTGTGTGTGTGTGTGTGTGTGTGTGTGTGTGTGTGTGTGTGGGTGTGTGGGTGTGTGTGGCGTGCGTGTGCGTGCATGTGTGCGTGTACGTGCGTGTGTGCGTGTGCACACCCACATGTAATACATTTTGTAAATATAAAAGCAACTCACGGAATCCAATTAAGATTCCTTTCGCTCATTTTATTTGTCATCCGACACTGATGCTATAGCCTTGAGCAAGAAATAAGATACCAGCCTAGCTCACATTGCATATACAACCATAATAACAACAATCATTCCACTCACCTTGCTAATAATGTGCCTCTTGAGATGTAAGCAGTGAAAGTAGCCCAGGCCGTGCACAGGAAAGGGCCTCTGGGTTCTGTAATGAAACAAGGCACGAGTTAAAATGAGTTTGAACATTTTCTGGGGGGGTGGGTTTGTGCAGGAGCAGTCTGGGGAGGACGTAGCAGTATGGGGAGGACGTAGCAGTCTGGGGAGGACGTAGCAGTCTGGGGAGGATGTAGCTGTCTGGAGAGGACGTAGCAGTCTGGGGAGGATGTAGCTGTCTGGGGAGGACGTAGCAGTCTGGAGAGGACGTAGCAGTCTGGGGAGGACGTAGCAGTCTGAGGAGGGCGTAGCAGTCTGGGGAGGACGTAGCAGTCTGGGGAGGATGTAGCTGTCTGGGGAGGACGTAGCAGTCTGGAGAGGACGTTGCAGTCTGGGGAGGACGTAGCAGTCTGGGGAGGATGTAGCTGTCTGGGGAGGACGTAGCAGTCTGGAGAGGACGTAGCAGTCTGGGGAGGACGTAGCAGTCTGGGGAGGATGTAGCTGTCTGGGGAGGACGTAGCAGTCTGGGGAGGACGTAGCAGTCTGGGGAGGACGTAGCAGTCTGGGGAGGATGTAGCTGTCTGGGGAGGACGTAGCAGTCTGGAGAGGACGTAGCAGTCTGGGGAGGATGTAGCAGTCTGGGGAGGACGTAGCAGTCTGGGGAGGACGTAGCAGAATCACAATGAGCACATTAAAAAAAACTCTGCCAAATCTCCCGGCCAAATGGCACACACCTCGTCACCTCTTAGAAAAAGGAAAAGGGAGTTAAGAGTCAGTAAAGGCTTCTGTGATGGACCGGGCGATAAAACACACACATGCACACAGCCCATTTGGTTTCTTCCGACCCATAGAAATTGCTGTGGGTTGAGGGTTAGGAGGTGGGTCTAGGGGTGTCAGGGTCTCAAAGCCATGAAGGTACACTTCTCTGATGAAACGGAAGATAAAACACACACACATCTGGGTTCTCTGAGCCATAGAAAAAGGACAGGGTTTTGGGGAGTGATGTATAGGAGGGGGTAGAGGGGTGTCGAGCTCCCCTCCAACACGTGCCGACAGCTTAAGCTGCAGTGCAGTGAAACTCTAGCCAAGCAGTGACCCGAGTCCATTTGTCCCCCACAGTGACAGACGTTTAAACCGGGGGACTTCTGCAGAGCTCCGTTTTATGGCAGTTTTATGGCTCCAAGTGTTTGGATGTTAAATGGTGTTTAATGATCACTACTCCCCCACTCTAGCACCTCCCTCCTGCCCTCTAGCACCTCCCTCCTGCCCTCTAGCTCCTCCCTCCTGCCCTCTAACACCTCCCTCCTGCCCTCTAACACCTCCCTCCTGCCCTCTAACACCACCCTCCTGCCCTCTAGCACCCCCCTCCTGCCCTCTAGCACCTCCCTCCTGCCCTCTAACACCTCCCTCCTGCCCTCTAACACCTCCCTCCTGCCCTCTAACACTTCCCTCCTGCCCTCTAGCACCTCCCTCCTGCCCTCTAGCACCTCCCTCCTGCCCTCTAACACCTCCCTCCTGCCCTCTAGCACCTCCCTCCTGCCCTCTAACACCTCCCTCCTGCCCTCTAGCACCTCCCTCCTGTCCTCTAACACCTCCCTCCTCCCCTCGCTAGTTCCTCTTTAAATATTACCAATAGGGTATCTGCAAAAAGGCATCTAACAACTATCCTTTTAGTCCCTTGCTGGGCTTTAATACAGACTCTAATCATCCTTTCAAAATGTCAAGGAATTTATCACGAGTTCCACTTACTATATGCCTTGAGCCGAGTCTGACGCAAACCATTTGAGAGTTGAGTCAGTCACTGTGACATCCTCGCGACACAATAACGTTGTTTTTTTATAGGTCATTCAGAATGGAGAATGGACACAGACACTTACTCTGCTGATTACAATCATTTCTTTAACCACTGAAATTGATTGTTATCTATAAAAGAAGCATAACCTTTAGTGGACTGGGAAGATGGAGCGTTGAATGGAGTCGAGGCTCAAGGAAATTGTGTGAGAAAGTTTAATAGCTACAGTGTATTTAGTGTTATTGAGATATTGTGCATGTGTGTGTGCATGTGTTAAGCATACATACAGTTGAAGTCGGAAGTTTACATACACTTAGGTTGGAGTCATTAAAACTCGTTTTTCAACCACTCCACAAATTTCTTGTTAACAAACTATAGTTTTGGCAAGTCGGTTAGGACTACTTTGTGCATGACACAATTGTAAACAATTGTTTACAGATAGATTATTTCACTTATAATTCACTGTATCACAATTCCAGTGGGTCAGAAGTTTACATACACTAAGTTGACTGTGCCGTTAAACAGCTTTGAAAATTCTAGAAAATGATTTTAGAAGCTTTAGAAGCTTCTGATAGGCTAATTGACATCATTTGAGTCAATTGGAGGTGTACCTGTGGATGTATTTCAAGGCTTACCTTCAAACTCAGTGCCTCTGTGCTTGACATCATGGGAAAAACAAAATAAAATCAGCCAAGACCTCAGAAAATAATTGTAGACCCCAACAAGTCTGGTTCATCCTTGGGAGCAATTTCCAAACGCCTGAAGGTACCACGTTAATCTGTACAAACAATAGTACGCAAGTATAAACACCATGGGAGCAGGCAGCCGTCATACCGCTCAGGAAGGAGACGCGTTCTGTCTCCTAGAGATGAATGTATTTTGGTGCGAAATGTGCAAATCAATCCCAGAACAACAGCAAAGGACCTTGTGAAGAAGCTGGAGGAAACATGTACAAAAGTATCTATATCCACAGTAAAACGAGTCCTATATCGACATTACCTGAAAGGCCGCTCAGCAAGGAAGAAGCCACTGCTCCAAAACCGCCATAAAACGCCAGACTACGGTTTGCAACTGCACATGGGGACAAAGATTGTACTTTTTGGAGAAATGTCCTCTGGTCTGATGAAACAAAAATAGAACTGTTTGGCCATAATGACCATCGTTATGTTTGGATGAAAAAGGGGAATGCTTGCAAGCCGAAGAACACCATCCCAACCATGAAGCACGGGGGTGGCAGCATCGTGCTTTGCTACAGGAGGGACTAGTGCACTTCACAAAATAGATGGCATCATGAGGAAGGAAAATTATGTGGATATATTGAAGCAACATCTCAAGACATCAGTCAGGAAGTTAAAGCTTGGTCGTAAATGGGTCTTCCAAATGGACAATGACCCCAAGCATAAATAGCTTAAGGACAGCAAAGTCAAGGTATTGGAATGGCCATCACAAAGTCCTGACCTCAATCCTATAGAAAATGTGTGGGCAGAATTGAAAAAGCGTGTGCGACCAAGGAGGCCTATAAACCTGACTCAGTTACACCAGCTCTGTCAGGAGGAATGGGCCAAAATTCACCCATTTTATTGTGGGAAGCTTGTGGAAGGCTACACGAAACGTTTGACCCAAGTTAAATAATTTAAAGGCAATGCTACCAAATACTAATTGAGTGTATGTAAGCTTCTGACCCACTGGGAATGTGATGAAAGAAATACAAGCTGAAATAAGTAATTCTCTCTACTATTATTCTGACATGTCACATTCTTAAAATAAA